CTCCACTCTCCTCTCAGGATCTTGGGCACGCACGCACACACGCCCGGCGTGAGTTTAAGCCACCGGGTCCAGGACTCGAACCACAGTCGAATACATGGGAGTTCAGCGACATAGCCATTACACTAACTGCTGGTCCCTATTTTTTTTTTTTTTTAAGGGAGAGCTCCTCTGGGTTCATGTGAGGCTATTTGACTTTTCCATCTTTAAGTCCCCGAGGTCCTTAAAGCCTGTAACCATCAGTACAGAAGAAAGACTATTTTCAGAGACTGCTACAAAAGGTCATTGTCACATCACACACGGAGGCCTGCCTCTTAATGAAATCTGTCCTGGCTGTCCCAGCTCCTGCTTAGAACAGCCTCAGGGAAGTGAGCTCAGGGTTACTGGAATTTATTTTAATTAAAAGCGTCCTGGCCTCCAGGAGGCCACACTGCCATCCTGCATTCCTCCTGCGCTTTGAATAGAGCTTTGTCTGTCTTTGGCCTGTATGGGCATATCTCCACCCAGAGTCCATCGGGGCTGCTGGGTCCTGGCTCTCTGCAGACCCACAGTCTGCTCTAGGGCCCTGGGTCCCTGCCAGGAGGTGGGGTCCTACCTAGGACGCAGCTTCAGGTCCCCACACAGAGCCATCTACAGACACTTGAAGCCGCTCAGCCCACTGGGTCACACACGCTCCCCACGCTGACTCACAGACAACCTGAGCTTTCTCTCGGAAGGGCCTCAGAACACCTGTGCCACCCGGGCTCGGGTTTACCAGCTCAGTCATGCTCCTGGGATTTTAGAACATGACTTCATCTTCTGTCCGGGCCACTGGCATCAGGTTCCAGAGGCTTCTAGAAGAGGTTGGTCAAGTTAGGGTGCCGTGTGCAAGAGTGCTAAAAGGATCAGCTGGCCGCGAACCCACACTCGGCTCCAGGGCCCCTGGTCCATGCCAGGAGGTGGCGTCCTAGCCTAGGGGCTGTGGCTTCTTGTCTCTGTGGGAATCCTGTGGTCACTTGTTCAGGGTGGGCATGAGATGGTCACCCCCTGGGAGAGCAAACCGCTGACTAGGCAGTGGCTCTTTTGCTGTCGGAATAGGAGTGACGTTGTGCTCCCTTCAGGGACTGGTCATGCGCATTGCAGTTCACAAAGTGAATTCGGAGGGGCAGCAGGAGGCGTAGTAGATAAGGTGCTGGACTCTCACATGGCCGACCACGGTTCGAGTCTCAGACCTCGTGGCTTGCTCTCTCACTTTCCCTCTCTTTGTGTGCCTGTCTTTCTCTGGTCCAATGAAAATGACTGAGTGAATCAGTAAAATTAAATAAGTAATTAAAACAATTTAAAAAATAATTAGATAATAATAATAAAGGTAAATAATTATTTTTTTAAAAGTAATTTTGGAGAGGAGGAAATAGGTCAGCCTTACACTAAAGGAACTTCCTGGGACTAGCAGTTGGCATAATGGCTATGTCACTGGACTCCCACGTAGTCGACTGCAGTTCGAGTCCTGGACCTGATGGCTTAAATTCACGCCGGGCGCATATGCGTGCGTGCTCAAGATCCCGAGAGGAGAATGGAGGAGAAGGGATTGTGGCATGGCCATCCCCCCTGTGGGGTGATTTCTCACTTTCTGTCTCTCTGTCTCTGTCTTTCTGGTGAGCGCACGCGCCCTATAACAAAAACCTCTTCAAGAAAAGGGGGGGGGAGGAACTTCTATAGCCCGGATAAAGATGAAAGAGGCTGGAAACTTCTAGAAGAGGAGGTGCCCACCGTGGTGTCCTAGGCCTCCCTCTACCCCATGCGTTCCAGGCCCTGCTCATATACCAGAGGCCCGACCTGAGTTTGCAACTCCCTAATGGGTGGTCAGCTTGCACGTGACCACAGCTATAAAGGGATCTTCCCACTCTGCTCCCTGGGCTCCTCCTCCTTTGACTCCAGACCTTCCAGAAACAGAACTGGGCAAAGCAGAGAACTTCCGAGAAGCTGAGGACCTGGAAGGGGAAGAAGGAATCTGACTTGAGGAGCCCACCGCGGGGCATAGACTCCCAGGAGGCTGGGCTCCCTCCTCCCACTGCAAAGCCTAGCAAGCCACACTGCCCTAGTTCGAATCATACATCCCCTCCTCCATCTTCTCCCTTCCTTCCTCCCTTCCTTCTGCCTCCGCTTCCAGAGATTCACACAAGCTAACAAGCCCCGTCTTTGGAAAATATGAATAGGTCTCGCCAAGTCCGCGGTTATAAGCAATGCATGGGCCAGTCTGAATTAGGCCAAGCAGCTTCCCTTCTCTCGGAGTCTCTGAGCTTAGCCGTGCTGGGAAAGGAGCCTGCGGTGCCCAGGGGGAGGGGACCAGCCAACAGGGGGTGCTTTTGCAGGACATCTGGTCACCCTGTGACCACCACGCTAAAAAACACAGGGAGGTGGGAGAACACGACAAGAAAGGGCCGGAAAGGTGCCAAGCACACTTGTCCTCCACGCCACCCCATCTTGTGCCAGGGAGAGGGGAGGGAGATGATGCCCGGCCCTTTGGGTCTCCACCACTTATTTATTTATTTATTTAGGTTTTGCCATAAGGCCAGAGAGAAACAGAAAAAGGGACAGTGAGAAATCACCTCCCCCAGGGGAGATGGCCATACTGCAATCCCTTCTCCTCCGTTCTCCTTTCGGGATTTTTGGGCACGCACGCACACGTCCAACATGATGTTCAAGTTACTGGGGCTGAGACCCGAACTGTGGTCAACCCATGTGGGAATCCAACACTTTAACCACCATGCCACCTGCTAGCCCTGGGCCTCTGCCTCTTCTACCAAAGCCCAGAGCCTAAACCTCAATGTGCTTTCAGCCCCAACTCCTTCTCGCTTCCTACAGGAAGTGAATGTCTCCTGGTCTTCACCGTAAGGGTCAGATCTTTACTCTTGTAAAAGGTCTCAGTGGACTACCACGTAGCTGATCGTGGTTTGAGTCCTGGACCTGGTGGCTTAAAACTCACACTGGGCGTGTGCGCTTGCATGCCCAAAATCAGAGAGGAGAATGGAAGAGAAGGGATTGTAGAGTGGCCATCCCTCCAGGAGAAAATTTCTCGGTTTCTGTCTCTCTGTCTTGGTTCAAGTCCCGGACCCGGTGGCTTAAGCTCACGCCGGGTGCGTTGCATGTGTGCCCAAGATCCGGAGAGGAGAATGGAGGAGAAGGGATAGCGGGGTGGCCATCCCCCCTGGGGGGTGATTTCTCGCTTTGTGTCTCTCTGTCTCTCTCTGTCTCTCTGGCGAGCACATGCACCCTATAGCAAAAACCTCTCCAAAAATAAATAAATAAATAAAAGAAAGAAAGAAAGAAAGAAAGAAAGGAAATCACACTGGGGGAAACCAGCAGTTAGCATAATGGCTATGTCGGTGGACTCCCACGTAGTCGACCGCGGTTCGTGTCCCGGACCTGGTGGCTTAAAACTCACGCTGGGTGCGTGTGCGTGTGTGCCCAAGATCCCGAGAGGAGAATGGAGGAGAAGGGATTGCAGTGTGGCCATTGCCCCTGGGGGGGTAATTTCTCGCTTTGTGTCTCTCTGTCTCTCTGGTGAGCACATGCACCCTATAGCAAAAACCTCTCCAAAAGAAAATAAAAGAAAGAAAGAAAGAAAATCACACCGGGCACGTGTGTGTGATGCCCAAAACCCCAAGAGGAGGATGAAGGAGAAGGGATTGCAGTGTGGCCATCTCCTGTGGGGGTGATTGCTCACTTTCCCTCTCTCTCTCTCTCTCTCTCTTGAGTGCACACACCCTATAGGGAAAAAAAAAAAAAATCTCAGCTACATTTAGCCAGCAAATCAGAACAGTAAGCGTATTCCACTCCTGAATATCTTCATTCATTTTTGACACGGGTTGTTCATCTCTGTCATGCTTTAAGGGTGAACAAAATAAACGCCATTCATCCCCAACATCAGCTGTCATCAGATGATCAGTCGCCAAAGTTAGAACTTCATTTGAGCACTAAATCTGTAGTGTTTTCTCCCATGAGTCAGCCACAAGTAAAAGAAATGTAATATTTGCCATGTGTACGATATTCTCTTCCTTCCAAGATCAAGGCTTGAATAATACTCCAGAAATGCATCTGTTGGTCCTTAGGATACGAACTCCCACTGACAGAGAGGGATGGGAACAGCAATCCAATCCAATGGATTCTGTTTGGTTGTAGGTCCCCAGGCCAGTAGGCACTGAGACCTCCTCCTAGGCCCCAGA